TCCGTAATTTTTTTTTTTTACTTGTGTTCCCCAAAAATAAAAAAGGGGAACCAGGTGTCTTATAATTTTATATTTTTTTCCTTTCAAAGGAAAAAGGAAAACCCACCCTTTAAGGGGCTTTATTTTTTTTTTTTTTTCCAAGTGGGGGATTTTGTTTGTTATTTCCCCTTCCAAAAAAAGGCCCTTCAAAAGGCTTTCAAGCATGCCCACAAAGGGATTGGGCAAGGAAAAAACCTTTTGGACAAGTGGGGGAAAAGCGGGGCCTTTTTTGGTGGGGGCTGGCCCCGGCCCAAAAACCTTTCCGGTTCCCACCCTCTGGGGATTTTAAGGGTAAGGCTATCAACGATGGGGCAGATTTGGAAGAAAGGGGGGCTTCCTTTCCCTTCTTCTTTTTTAACCCGGCTTTTTTACAATTTGAAATGCAATTTTTTGGGTGTTTGTGTAAAGGAATACGGCTGTGGGGGTAAAAGGCCAACGCCCATTCCCCACTAGGTTTCTTTTATTTTTCCCAGGGGTTAAAAAGGGGCTGGCCCTATATTTCACAAATGCCTAGAAATCTTGCTAGGGCTTATGGGTAGGTCTTAATTTGGAGGAAACACGGTATTTGGGTCTTCTTTAATTTATCTCAGCAATGTTTTGTATCTTTTAGTGCACAGATATTACACATTTTTAATTAAATTTGTTCTTTTTAAAAATCAAAATATGATTTATATACCATAAAATTTACATACCCTTTTTTTTTGAGACAGAGTCTCGCTTTGTTGCCCAGGCTAGAGTGAGTGCTGTGGCATCAGCCTAGCTCACAGCAACCTCAATCTCCAGGGCTCAAGCAATCCTCCTGCTTCAGCCTCCCTAGTAGCTGGGACTACAGGCATGTGCCACGATGCCCGGCTAATTTTTTGTATATATATTAGTTGGCCAATTAATTTCTTTCTATTTATAGTAGAGACGGGGTCTCACTCTTGCTCAACCTAAAGCGAATTTCGAACTCCTGGCCTCAAGCGATTCGCCCGCCTTGGCCTCTCAGAGTGCTAGGATTACAAGTGTAATCCTAGCCACTGCGCCCAGCCGTACATACCCTTTTAAAGTGTACAATTCAGTGGTTTTTAGTATATTCACAATGCTATGTAATTATTACCACTATGTAATTCCAGAATATTTTCATCTTTCCAAAAAGAAACTCTATATTCATTAGTATTCATTCCCCATTTCTCTCTCTCCCCACCCCCTGGCAGCCACTAAACTACTTTTGTCTCTATGAATTTGTCTATCCTGCACGTTTTACAGGATAAGGCAATAAATGGAACCATACACTATGTGGCCTTTTGTCTCTAGCTTCCTTCAATTAGTATAATGTTTTCAAAGTTCATCCATATTGTAGCATGAATCAGTACTTTATCCCTTTCTATAGCTGAAGAGTTTTATTGTATGGATGTATATTATATTTTGTTTATTTATTCATCAATTAGACATTTGGTAGTTTCCATTTTGTGGATATTGTGAATATTATTCCATGAATATTTGTGTACAAGTTGTGTGGACATGTTTTCATTTCTCTGGGGAATGTACATAACAGTGGAATTACAGGATCATATGTTAACTCTACATTTCACGTTTTAAGGAACTGCCAGACTGTTTTCCAATACAGAGGTACCATTTTACATTCCTATCAGCAGTGTATAAGGGTTGCAATTCTTTACATATCATGACCAACACTTGTTATTTCTATCTTCTTTATTATAGCCATCCCAGTGGGTGTGAAGTGGTATCTCAATATGGTTTTGATTTGCATTTCTTGAATGACTAATGATATTGAGCATCTATCTTTTTCATTTGCTTATTGGCCATTTATATATCTTCTTTGGAAAATGTTCATTCAAATCCTTTGCCAATTTTTTTTATTTTCTAATCACAGCTTTATTGAGATATAATTCAAATACCTACTAAAGTGTTTAATTCAGTGGCTTTTAGTGTATTCACAGAATTGTGCAACCATTAACACAATCAATTTTAATACATCTTATCACCCCATTAATAAGCATTCCTATTTCTCTCTCTGTATTATTTTTATACAAACTCTTCCATTGTTTTTTTATGTTAAAAGAGGCACCCAACAGGAATTTGGTGAACAAAATATTAAGGAAAAAAAAAAAAAAGACTGGGTCCCTAAGATAGCAGAGTTTGTGTTATTTGAGCAATTCCTTGATTTTATTTCTTTATTATGTAAAAACTATATAAACTATACATAGTATAAACTATATATATATACTATATAGTATATACTATATATATATAGTATACATATATATATATATAGTATACACTATACATAGTATAAACTATACATAGTCTGGTAGGGGACAAGAGAGAAATAAAAAGTTATATAAATGCTACTAAAAACTAAGATTTTTAATACTGAGGAAAAACATAACCAATATAAAAACTAGAGGAAAAAACCACACAATTTTAAATATACAAGATGGGCCTGGGAAATAGCCAAAAAACTGTCAGAATTACTGAGTTATATCAAAGGACACAAGAGCCAACCTGAAGAGGTTCCCAATGGCCAAAAATGGGATAATATGAGCACTAAAAATAAATAATGCAGTTGAAATGCAAATACATGAAATACCCAAAATGGTATTTTTAAAAATTAGTCAACTTTTGCAGGGTTGTTAAGGAAACAACACAAAACTCTGAAAAACAACAAATGAAAAAAATCAAGCAATTATCCCATTTTTCTTATGCCAACTGTATTTCAGGGTAACCAATACTTAAAAGAAAATTTTTTCTTTAAAGAAGCATTCTAATTTATTAATGACAGATGGAATGATAGAATTAGGGAAGAAACACATCAATTAGCAACACTTAATGAAATAATAAATCTAGGCAATTATCATCAATGGTTGTTAAAACCATGAGGTGAAAGACCAAGGCACAACCTATTATAATGGATGGATCAGGGTGATCTGGAACCCTCCGACCAACCTAAACATTATAAAAAATGGGACAACACAATCTCTTGCCATAATACAATGAAATATAACCTATGATGTATTCTTATCAAAAGAATGGAAACTGAATCTAATCAAGCCTCTAAATCTAACTACTAGATCACAGAAAACACAAAGGAAGACCATGCGAAACATCACCACAAGAATATAATCACCACACAGAATGTAAAACAATCTGATTTCTTCAACAATTAAAAGGGAGAAACTAAGGTGAACTTTTATAGATAAAACAGACTTAAAGAGACATAACAAGGCTGATGTGGTGGCTCATGTCTGTAATCCCAACACTTTGGGAGACCAAGCAGGGAAGGATTGCTTGAGATCAGGAAATTGAGATCAGCCTGGGCAACATATCAAGACTCCTTTTCTAGAAGGAAAAAAAATTAAGTGGGGGCTTGAAAACAAATTTGCAACACTGTTGAAGCTGGGTGATGAGTTCATGGAGGTTCATTATACTATTCTAACTTTTCTGTACCTTTGATATTTTCCATAATAAAAGTTATAAAAAGAAAAAAAAAGATGGCTACTGTCAAAACAATAGAAAATAACAAATGTTAATGAGGATGTGGAAATATTGGAACCCTTGTGCATTGCAGGTGGGAATGTAAGATAGTGCAGCCACTGTGGAAAGAGGTATAGCAGTTCCTCAAAAAGTTAAATATAGAATTACCCTATGATCTGACAATTCCACTTCCGGGTATATTCCCCAAAGAACTGAAAGCAGGGACTCAAACATACAGTTGTACACCCATGTTCGTAGCAGCATTATTCATAATAGCCAAAAGCAACTCAAGTGTCCATTGACAGATGAATGGATAAACAAAATGTGGTATATACATACTATGGAATATTATTCAGCCTTAAAAAGGAAGGAAATTTTTAGATGTTACAACATGGATAAACCTTGAAGACATTATTCTAAATGAAATAAGCCAGTTAAAAAAGGACTAATAGTATATGATTCCACTTATATGAAGTACCTAGAATAGTCAAAATCTTGAGACAGAAAGTTGAACGGTGGTTTTCAGGAGCTGGGGGGAGAAAGTAATGGGAATCATTGTTTAATAGGTATAGAGTTTCAGTGCAAGATGAAAAGAGTTCTGGAGATGGATGGTGGTGAAGGTAGTGCAATATTGTGCTAAATGATGCTTAATGCCACTGAACTGTACATTTAAATTTTGTATTATTATATTTTACCACAGTAAAAATGCAATCAAAAAAAGAATGAACAAATGAAGATTGTTCAAGTTGTCTTCGTCTTTGTAAATTTATATAATAAATACTTTTATATGTTTTATTTAATGCATGTATGTGTGAAAAAGTTTAGGGTAGGGTACATCATAAGCAGTGTTATTTCTAGAAAGGGAAGAAGGATTGTGAAAAGAAGGAAAATATCACTTTTTTCTTTATATACCTATGTGTTGTTAAAGTTTTACAGGGAGAATATATTCATGTATTTGCTTGTATATTTAAAAAATAGGCCAGATGTGGTGGCTAAAAGCTGTAATCCCAGCACTGTGGGAGGCCAAGGTGGGAGGATCACTTGAAGCCAGGTGTTCAAAGACCAGCCTGGGCAACAGTGAGACCCCCATCTTTGCAAAAAAAAAATAAAATAGTTGGGCATGGTGGTGTGTGCCTGTAGTGTTAGCTACTCGGGAGGCTAAAGGATTGCTTGAGCCTGGGAGTTTGAGGTTGCCATGAGCTGTGCTTGCACCACTGCAGTCCATCTGGGTAACAGAGCGAGACACTTTCTCTAAAAAAAAAAAAAAATTTTTAATATTTTTATTTATTTTCATTCTATTTGTCCTCCAATGATTTTCCTTTTCTTCTTGAGTAATTTTTTTTTTATTTATTTCAGCATATTATGGGAGTACAAATATGGGGGGAGTGAGGGCATGGACAATATAAAAAAATTTTTTTAATGAAAGCAATAATGTATCTAAGAAAAATGGAAAAGTCTACAAGATGCTTACTTTTGTATTTAAGGTTGAAAGACTTAAAGGAGAGATGCATGAATCTCAAGAGAATAAGCAACTTGGAAACCACTCTCCCGAAAGAACTGTAGATGCTAAACAAAGAGTACAGGTATTTTAAAGTTCTGTTCTGCTGATTTCTAATTTTTAAGGGAATTGCATTTTTACAGAGTATATTAGAACAATTGGTACTAATCATTTGCTATTCTCTTCTTATTGGGCAATTTATATTGCTCAGCTAATTAAAGTGGAAGAAGAAATTGAGATACAGAGGATGTTTCTGTTCTTTCCCACAGAAAAAATTAATTTGAAGAATGTAGTAGATTGTTTCTTTGAAGAAAAAGAATTATGAATATATAACCAATTTGAGCATTTTAAATCATCAAATAGAGTTGATTTATAGAATCAACCAGTGGTATTTGGATGGGTAGTTGGAACCATGCTAAATGTAATACAATATCATAGAGAACTAATAAAATGTAGGCCCCAGCGTGTTTAGTATCTAGTATCATCAGCATGATCAGCCTCTGAAGTAGTAGGCAAAGCAATGAAACCCAGGACAGACTGATATAAATGCCAATGTATATCTACTACATAGTGGTGGTATCTCATTGTGGTTTTAATTTGCCTTTGATGGTGTCTAATGACAGTGAATATGTTTTGATGTGCTCATTGGCCATTTGTATATGTTCTTTTGTGAAGCATCTATTCAAAACTTTTGCTTATTTTTAATTGGATGGTAGGTATTCTTTATATTAAGTAGAGTTCTTTATATATTTTGAATACCAGTCATTTGTTAGATATATGTATTATAAATATTTTCTCCTAGTCTATGCCATGTATTTTCATTTTCTTAACAGTATTTTATAAAGAATAGAGGTTTTAAAATTTTGATGGAGGCCAATTCGTCAATGTTTTCTTTCATAATTTTGTGGTAGAACACAAAATACCTATCTAAGAAATCTTTGTCTACCCTGAAGTCACAAAATATGTTTCTTATCCTTTCTTCTAAAGATTTTATAGTTTTAGCTTCTATATTTAAGTTTATGATCTATTGCGGATAATTTTCATATATTCTGTGAGGTAAGGGTTGAAGTTCATTCATTTCCAAATATATATCCAGTTATTCCAGAACCATTTGTTGAAAAGAGTTATTTCCTTATTGAATTATGTTGGCACCTTTATTAAAAATCAATTATGTGAGGCGCGCGCCGGTGGCCCTCACCGCCTGTCAATCCCTACGCAAGCCTCCTGGGAAGGCCCCGAAGCGGTGGGCGGCATTGCTCAAGGTCAGGATAGTTCGAAACCACCCTGAAGAAGACCCCGTCTCTACTATAAATAGAAAGAATTAATGGCCAACTAATATATATAGAAAAAATTGCCGGCATGGTGGTCATGCCTGTAGTCCAGCTACTCAGGGAGGCTGAGGCAGAAGGATTGCTTGAGCCCAGGAGTTTGAGGTTGCTGTGAGCTAGGCTGACGCCATAGCACTCACTCTAGCCTGGGCAACAAAGTGAGACTCTGTCTCAAAAAAAAAAAAAAAAAAATCAATTATGTGGGTCTACTTCTGGACTTTCCATTAATCTGTATGTTTGTTCGTAGGACTATCTATGTTATAGCTTTGTTGTAAGTCTTGAAATCAGCAAGTGTAACACCTCCAACTTTGTAGGTTTTTTTCTTTCAAAGTTGTTTTGGCTATTCTAGGTCCTTTGCATTTACATATACATTTTAGAATAAGCTTGTCAGTTTTCATATACATGCCTGCTAGGTTTTTGATTGGGATGGCATAGAATCTGCAGATCAATTTAGGGAGAATTTACATTTTAACAATATTGAGCAGCCGGACATGTTGGCTCATGCCTGTAATCCTAGCACTCTGGGAGGCCTAGGCGGGTGGATCGCTCAGGGCAGTTCAAAACCCAGCCTGAGCAAAGCGAGACCCTGGCTTTACTAAAATAGAAGAAATGAATTGCCAACTAAAAAAATAATATAAAAAATATTAGTGGCATGGTGGCACATGCCTGTAGTCCAAGCTACTCGGGAGCTGAAGCAGGAGGATCACTTGAGCCAGGAGTTTTGAGGGTGCTGTGAGCTAGGCTGAGGCCACAGCACTCTAGCCAGGACAACAGAGTGAGACTCTGTCTCAAAAAAAAACAAAACAAAAAAATCAATATTGAGCTCTCTAATTCATGAACATTGTACATCTTTCTATTTACTGTGTTTCCCCCAAAATAAGACAGGGTCTTATATTTATTTTTCCTCAAGAAGACACCTAGGGGCTTATTTTTCAGGGATGTGTTATTTCCCTCAAAGCCCTCAGCTTGCAGCAATGCACAGGATGCCAGGACCTGACAGGGGAAGCCAGACCTTTTGGTGGGGCTGCCCGCACCTTTCCGGTCACTTCTGGGATAGTAGATACACGATGGCAGATGAGAAGGGCTCCTCCTCTTCTTTACCGCTTTACAATGAAATGCATGGGTTGTGTAGATACGCTGTGTAGCCACGCCCATCACTAGGTCTTATTTTCAGGGTAGGGCCTATATTTCACAAATGCCTAGAAATCTTGCTAGGGCTTATGGGTAGGTCTTTATTTTGGAGGAAACACGATTTGGGTCTTCTTTAATTTATCTCAGCAAGTTTTGTATCTTTTTAGTGCACAGATATACACATTTTTAATTAAATTTGTTCTTTTTAAAAATCAAAATATGATTTATATACCATAAAATTTACATACCCTTTTTTTTTTTGAGACCAGAGTCTCGCTTTGTTGCGCCAGGCTAGAGTGAGTGCTGTGGCATCAGCCTAGCTCACCAAACTCAATCTCCCAGGGCTCAAGCAATCCTCCTGCTTCAGCCTCCCTAGTAGCTGGGACTACAGGCATGTGCCACGATGCCCGGCTAATTTTTTGTAATATATATTAGTTGCCAATTAATTTTTCCTATTTATAGTAGAGACGGGGTCTCATCTTTTGCTCAACCTAAAGCGAATTTTTGAGACTCCTGGCCTCAAGCGATTTCCCCCGCCTTGGCTTCTCAGAGTGCTAGGATTACCAAGTTGTAATCCTAGCCCACTGCGCCAGCGTACATACCCTTTTAAAGTGTCACATTCAGCTGGTTTTAGTATATTACAAATGCTATGTAATTATTACCACTATGTAATTCCAGAATATTTTCATCTTTCAAAAAGAACTCTATATTCCATAGTATTCATCGTCCATTCCTCCTCTCTCTCACTGGCAGCACTAAACTACTTTTGTCTCTATGAATTGTCTATTCCTGCACGTTTTAAGGATAGCAATAAATGGAACCATACACTATGTGCCTTTTGTCTCTAGCTTCCTTCAATTAGTATAATGTTTACAAAGTTCATCCATATTGTAGCATGAATCAGTACTTTATCCTTTCTATAGCCTGAAGAGTTTTTGTATGGATGTATATTATATTTTGTTTATTTATTCATCAATTAGACATTTGTATTTCCATTTTGTGGAATTTGAAATATTATCCATGAATTTGTGTACAAGTTGTGTGGACATGTTTTCATTTCTCTGGGGAATGTACATAACAGTGGAATTCAGGATCATATGTTAACTCTACATTTCCCACGTTTTAGAGGAACTGCCAGACCTGTTTTCCAATCAGAGGTACCCAATTTACAATTCCTATCAGCAGTGTATCAGGGTTGCAATTCTTTACATATCATGACAACACATGTTATTTCCTATCTTTTTTATTATAGCCATCCAGTGGGGTGTAAAGTGGTATCTCAATATGGTTTTGATTTGGCATTTCTTGAATGACTAATGATATTGAGCCATCTATCTTTTTCATTTCTTATGGCCATTTTATATATTCTTCTTGGAAAAATGTTCATTAAATCCTTGCAATTTTTTTATTTTCTAATCACGCTTTATTGAGATATAATTCAAATACCTACTAAAGTGTTTAATTCAGTGGCTTTTAGTGTATTCACAGATTGTGCAACCATTAACACACATCCAATTTTAATACATCTATCACCATTAATAAGCATCTCCATTTCTCTCTCTAACCCCACCACAGTCCTAGGCAACCACTAATCTACTTGCTGTCTCTATCAATTTCCTTATTCTGGATATTTCACATAATTGGAATCATACAATAAGCAGTCTTTTGTGTTTGTGCCCCTCTTCCGCTCCAGCATAACGTCTCAAGTTCCATCCCATCATAGCATGTCAGTACTACATTCCTTTTTTTTTTTTTTTTTTTTGTGAGCCGGAGTCTCCATTTGTTGCCCAGGCTAGAGTGAGTGCCATGGCATCCCTAGCCTAGCACCTCAAAAAAGCAACCTCCCCAACTCCCCTGGGCTTCAAGGCCAATCTGCTGCCTCAAGCACTTCGCCCCGACGTAGCTGGACTACAGGCGCATGCGCCACTGTCTAGCCTAAATTTTGTATATATATATATCAGTTGGCCGATTAATTTGTTTCTATTTATAGTAGAGACGGGGTCTCGCTCTTGCTCAGGCTGGTTTTGAACTCCTGACCTGGAACAATCCGGCCTCCCAGAGAGCTAGGATTACAGGCGTGAGCCACCGCGCCCGGCCTACATTCCTTTTAATTGCCAAACAATATGTCACTGAATGGATATACCATATTTTGTTTTTCCATTTATCAATTGATGGACATTTGAGTTGTTTGCCAATTTTTAATGTAGTTATCTGTCCTTTTATTGTTGAGTTGCAGGAGCTCTTTATGTATTTTGTATATTAGTCTTTATTTGGGGTTGAATTGTGCCCCCCCCAAATATGTTGAAGTCCTAACCCCCAGGGCCTGTGAGTATTACATTATTTGGAAATAGGTTCTTTGCAGATGATGTAATCAAGTTAAGATGAGGTCATTAGAGGGCACCCTAATCCAATATGACTGGTGCAATTATGACAAGAAGAAATGCCATGTGAAGACAGAGGCAGTGACTGGAGTGATACAGCTGCAAACCAAGGAACACCAAGAATCGATAGCTACCACCAGAAGCTAGGTAGAAGAGAAAAAAGGATTCTGCCCATAGTCTCAGAGGGTATATGACCCTGTTAACACCTTGATTTCAGATTTCTAGGCTTCAGAACTTGTATGCGA